TGTGTGTATATATATATATGTATATATATGCAAGTAACCCATATGTTACTTGTTACTATAACCCATATGCAAGTTACCCATATGTGTATATATATATATATATATATATATATATATATATACATATATATACACACACACAAACAACCCAAGTGGCCATCATGAATATATATGTGTGTGTGTGCATATGCTAAGTCGCTCAATTGTGTCCGACTCTGTATGACCTTATGGACTGTAGGCCACGAGGATCCTTTGTCCATAGCATTTTCCAGGCAAGGATGCTAGAGTGGGTTGCCATGCCCTCCTCCAGGGGATCTTCCTGACCCAGGAATCAAACCTGTGTCTCTTACGTCTCCTGCATTGGCAGGCAGGTTCTTTACCACTAGTGCCTATGTATATATATATGCAAATAGCCAACTCATTGGAAAAGACCTGGTGCTGGGAAATATTGAGGGCAGGAGGAGAAGGGGATGACAGAACATGAGATGATTGGATGGCATCACCAACTCAATGGACATGAATTTGAGCAAGCTTGGGAGATGGTGAAGGACAGGGAAGCCTGGCGTGTTGCAGTCCATGGGGTCACAAAGAGTCAGACCTGACTGAGTGACTGAACAACACATTTATATATATGGTATATATATACACCCACACACACACATAGCACACCTTCTTAAGCCAATCGTCAGTCGATGGGTCGATGAGTACTTGGGTTGTTTGTTTCCGTGTCTTGGGTTTAAAATGTTTCTTTTTTTTTTTTTTTTTGGCCTCACCGCGAGGCATGCAGGATCTTACTTCCCAGATCAAAGATTGATCCCATGCCCCCCACCGTGGAGGCACAGTCTTAACTGCTGGGCTGCCAGGGAAGCCCCAAAATATGTCTTGAATAGATGGAGAAAACAGAGAAGCCTCAGAGTCATGGATAGAACTGAAACTACAGCATAGATCACAGCCTGCGCCTGCAAGAGCAAGGCCAGCCCGTCCATAATGGAGGACAAAGGTTGGGATGAGAAAAACGGATGAATGGAGAGAGTTGCCATCAGTTTGCAAAGGGCCTTTGGAAGCTCAGCTGGGGAATCTAGGTTTGACTGAGGACTAAACGCATAAGAAGTTCTTCTCCAGCAGCCCTCGTGGGAGCTGGATAAACACACTCATAGGTCCCCTTCTCTCTCTCCTACTCCTCTCACGCTCATCCTTCCAGGTCTGATGCCCCACCCGGACTGTTGCAGAAGCCTCTCGGCTGGCCTCTCACCCGCACCCCCAGTTCACTCCCATCCACCCCACACCAGCTCTCAGGTTCATCTCCCTAAAACTTAGCCCCCATCAAAAGCCTGTTTGGTGGCTCCGCACTTCAAGTTAAGCAAACTCTCACCTCCTCACTCGAACTCAAGGCAACCCGAGCTCCACCCTCATTGCTTCCTTTCCTGTCTTTGATCTATTTCTTCATCCTGCAGTCAAGACAGACGCCAGCGACACACTTCCATTTCCACCTGCCTGACCCTGGGTGGTCCTCTCCCTGGAATGGTTTTCCTAGCTGTAAAACCAAGCAGGAAAGACAAGCATCCAGAGACCATGTAGGTAAGAACGGTGCATGTAGGTAGTGGGGCTAAGGAGGACCTCAGGAAGTGCCGAGGAGGCAGGGGTGTGTGTGCGCGTGTGTGTGTGCGTGTGTGTGTGTGTGTGTGTACACACACATGCAGAAAGAGGCACTGCAGCCTAGTGGTTATGGACTCTGAAGTCAAGCAAAGTGACCTTGCATGCTGTATCCAGCATCTCTTCTTAACCCCGAGACCTCAGGTTAGCTCCTTAACCATTCCAGACTTCAGTTTCCCCATCTAAAATCTAAAGATTATCAATACCGTGTTCCTCTTAGGGTTACTGTGAGAGTTAAGTGAGATGATATATATAACTACATAGCATAGTGCCAGGCAAGCAGCAGATGCTAACTAAGTGTTAGCCTTGCTTTAGGCAGAGCTCAGCAAAACAGAATGGACTCAGGCACATGTTTATTTCCAAATGTCTCCATACTGATCATTCTTCTCTTTCACTTTCCCAAAGCTAAGCCCCTCCCAGTTCTTCTAGGGGTCGTCTCCTGCTGTTGCCTCTTTAACCTTTACTTTCCATGAAAAAGTCCCTTTTCACCTGCAGACGTCTCACACCCCGACCCAGCACCCGGCAATGTGCAGACTGAGTGAGAGGATATGGTCAAAAGCTGGAGTTTGGAAGGGAAGGCAGGGTGGAAGGCGTGGATGTTGAAGATGTTAGCGAAAAAGAGACATCTTTCAAACTGGTGGGTTCTTGAAGAGAGAAAACAGAGAGAGGAGGAAAACCCTGGAATGGAACCGTGAGAGACGTGTGTCAGGAATCCGGGTACCTGCGAGGGAGGGCAGGCTGCTTCCAGGGATGTCCTGGAGCCTCCCTTCCCTTACACGGATGGCTTATGACCAAGGTGCTCTTCCTGACTCTCCTCTTTTCCAGATTCTTCTGTCGTGTCAACACAGATGGCACACACAGTTCTCCCTCACTCTGCTATCTCACCCAAAGTTCAACTTTACCCTGAAGTCCCTTACCTAGAAGTCCAACAGATCGATGGAACTCATCCTCCATATGTCTTGAAATGCAGTGAAAGTAGAGAGAGTTGATCAATATTCAAATTTGTCCAGTACCAAATTGTCCTTTCGGAAAACCTACAGAGCAAAATGACAGCAAACGTATTTTTCTGTAGAGTGACTCTATCTCCTAATGCACTGAACGTCCAACATAACCCCAAATACAATCTTTGGAGGGTGGATTGGATTAGGTTTGTATCTTTCCTTTCATCTTCTGTAAGTTTAACACCTAGCAACCTGAAAAGAAGGGAAGAGGCTGCAGTCACCCACTACGGATGTAGGGCCATGGGCCGAAGAACCTCGCCCAGTACAGCAATCTCACCAGGGGGCCTGCTCTCAGACCTTACGGCCCAGTCTTCATAATTTATACTTTTATACTGAGGCTCCATATGTATATTTATAGTAAAGGATACTCATCTTAAGGATATAAACTGATTCAGTTTTACATATGCACACACACCTGCTTGCAGGCTTCCCAGGTGGCTCAGGGAGGAAGAATCCACCTGCAATGCAGGAGACACAAGGATTGGTCCCTGGGTTGAGAAGATCCCCTGCAGGAGGAAAAGGCAACCCACTCTATAATTCTTGCCTGGGGAATCCCATGGACAGAGGAGCCTCGTGGGCTACAGTCCATGGAGTCACAAAGAGTCACATATGACTTAGCCACAGAGCATGCATGCATGCACACCTGTTTGACCACCACACAAATCAAGATCTAGAATAATTCCGACCCCCCAGCAGTTTCCTACATGCCCCTTTCCAGTCTGTACTGCTCTCCCCCCAAGATAAACACCACTCTGACTTCTCCCATTTGTAATTACTTTTGCCTATTAGTGATCACCTAAAGTGAGCCATTTGCTTCCTGGTGGCTCAGATGGTAAAGCGTCTGTCTGCAATGCTGAAGACCCGGGTTCGATCCCTGGGTCGGGCAGATCCCCTGGATAAGGAAATGGCAACCCACTCCAGTACTCTTGCCTGGAAAATCCCATCGACAGAGGAGCCTAGTAGGCTACAGTCCATGGGGTCGCAAAGAGTTGGACATGACTGAGCGACTTTACCTTACCTTACCTTACCTTAAAGTGAGCCATCCAGTGGGAATTCATTGGTTTGTAGCTTTTTTTGCTCATAAAAATGCCAGATTCATTTGTGTTGTTGTGTGTATCTGTAGTCTGTTCTTACTGATGTGTATTATTTCTCTATATAAAAACCACAATCTATTCATCCATTCTCTGGTGGATATTTGGTTTGCTTCCATGTTTTTGTTATTTTGTTAGAAAGCTACTAGAACATTCTAGACATGTCTTCTGTTGGTATGTACTTGTTTCTCTTGAATATGTGTGTGTATGAAATTTCTGGATCATAGGGTATGTACACATTCAACATTTTAGGATTCTGCCCAACAGTGTTCCAAAGCAGTTCTATCATTTTATTAGACCACCAGTTGGAGGATTCTGGTCATTCATATTCCCATCATGGCCCAGTCTTGACCCAACTGTAACTTCATTTATAACAAAAGGAGCTCTAAGCTTTCTTACCCTGAGATTTTCAGAATCGGGTATTCTTTCAAACATCATCTGTCTTCTAGAAGCAGAATATGAAGATTTTATTTCATCCACCAAAGAGAAGAAAGTTAGTTTTTTCACTGCTGCATTCTGCAAAGGACTTGGGATATCTAAAAAAAGGCAGGTGCATACATAGAAAAATAAAGAAGAGAAATGCAGACTGGGGAGTGACCAGGCTTACACAACTCCTGACTTAGGAAAGTGTTTTAATTTGATACATACCACTTGGGCCACCCACATACCTACTTCAGCCCAACAACACCATTAGGTGAAGAAAGCAATTGTCTCAGAAGACATCATCACTAAGAGAAGAACAGACTTGTAGCCAATGGGCTGGAGGAAAGTCTAGAAGGCTACTTTCGATCTGTACCGTAAGTCAGTCCCCCCACATGGATTTTGGCATCATTGGGCATTTTGTTGTCATTAGGAGTTTTCCTCCCCCTGGCTGTTCAGAAGTTTCAGATGAAATCTTTCTGATGTTTTTAGTGAAAGATGATATTTGCTTACCCATCATAGAAGATATTTCCTCTGCAGGAATGCTGTCGAACATGTTGCATTCACAACATGACACAAAGTCTAAAAAGCACAGAGAGACTAATTACTGGAGGAAAATGACACCAAAGGACCTATTTCCTCATGATGAGAATGACAGCCTGGTGCCCCGTTACCTGGCCCGATCGGGCAAATAGCCTGTGCAGCGCGCTTCTCTGGCTTTGCCTCACAAGCCACGGAGGAGGAAAGAGGCCTTCGGTCCTGCAACCAGCTTGGTGAGAAATCAAGACAAGCTGTCAGTCAAGTGAGGTCTAATTATAAGTCTCAATTCCAGTATTTATGAATGTGACAGAGAGTAAGCTGCATCTATCGACGGGGCCACATGAGCAGATCCTTCTCTTAACGCCGTCATCTGAATTATCATCTTGACACCTTGACACGTAGTGCTGGACGCCAGTAAAGCTGTGAAGTGAGGACCACCCCTCTTTGTCACTCTGCTGTGCTGCTTCTCATCAGCTGCCCAGTACCAAAAGGGTCTGTTCCTTTCCCTATCAGAAATCTCTTTATAAGAGACAGAAAACCATCTTTTCTTCCTTAAGAGGAATTTAAATCGCCTCAAATCATTTTTCTTTGCAGTCACAAAAGATCCCATGTTGTATGATTCCATTTATATAAAATGTCCAGATTAGGCAAATCTATAGAGACAGAGAGAAGATTAGTAGTGTGATGGGAGAGGTTGGAGGGGAATAGGGGGTGACTGCTAACAGATACGGGGTTTCTTTGGGGATGATGAAGATGTTCTAGAATGTACTGGTGATGGTATCTGTGAATACACTGAAAATCATTGAACTGCACTAGCCACCAGGTCACTTTAAAGTCCTTGTACACTTTAAATTAAATGGGTGAGTTGTGTGGTATGTAGATTATATTTCAATAAATCTTCATTTTTTAAATCACTTTTTAAAAACTCTGGTCTTTTTCCCAAATGCAGGAAATTTCAAGCATCCAAGAGCAAATGAGGAAGTTTAAGAGTGAAGAGTAGCTAAGGAGGAGATGGCATCATTTCTGTTCCCCTGAAATCACTCTTCTAATTTCAGTCTTGGTCATTACATTAGAAAAGGGGAGCCTTGCTTGATATTAATCGGGGATGCTCAAACTGTTTAACCCATAACCATTGTTGATAAACCTAAGTGTGCCATGACTTCCTTTGAACAATTTGAAATTCAAAATAAATATGATTACAGGCAAATCCAAGCAATTATATCACAGTCTCTCAAAGCTGATGCTACAGTCTTTGTTTAGAATCACGATATAGAGGGAGGATTATATTTTGTTTCTAAAACAGCCTCTAACTTTCTTTTTATATCACATCAGCACTGGGAGGCACTTTAAGAAGCTCCCTTTATTTTTTTATTTTTTAATTTTGAAAGATAATTGCTTGACAATATTGGTTTTATTTCTGCCATACACGAACATGAATTAGCCATAGGTGTACATATGTCTTCTGAACCTCCCCCAGCCCCCACCCTTTCCCACCCCTCTGGGTTGTTACAGAGGCCAGCTTTGAGTTCCCTGCGTTACGCAGCAAATTTCCACTGGCTATCGATTTTCCACATGGTAGTGCGTATATTTCCATCTACTCTCTCCATTCGTCTCACCCTCTCCTTCCTCCCCTCCCTCCACCCGTAAGCATCAGTCTGTTCTCTCTGTCTGCATCTCCATCTTTGAAGACATTGATCAGCCAGACAGGCGCCAGCACCTGGCCTCCAAGAAGACAAGAGGAGACAGTGTTTGAGAAGGGTCAGGAAGCACGGAGTAGAGAGTGGGAGTGACAGTTGTCGAAGGGAAGAGCAGGAGCTGTGGGCATTTGCTTGCTGATAGAAAGTAAATTTGAGCAGAGAGGGGTTTATAAGTAAACAGGGGAATCCAAGTTCAGATCAGACCTCAGGATGTCATTCATTGGGAATAACATACTCAAGCAACCCCTTGCCCTGACTGTGATGGCATGGAATTCTATGTCACCTAAGTAGTTGATAGGATTAAACATTGTTATTCATATTAGCTTTTGTGACTATGATCATCCAGTGTGGTTATTATGCACTTTTAAAAAGCTCTTATCTTCTAGAAATTCATACTGAAACATTTGTAAATGAAATTATAAAATATATGGGACTTGCATCAGACCAATTCCAGTCATCTCCCCTCAGGCAAAGCGAGAGGGTATATACATGAAAAAAGCCTGAGCGTGAGTGGATAACTGTTGACAGTGGATGATGGGTATATAGGGTTCCATTATATTATTCTATTTATATGTTTGAAATTTTTCCATAATAACCACATGGAATAACAGAGACTGGATTTATTCTCCTGCTTTAGAAAACTTAGAAAACCACTATGCATAAATATATATATATAGAGAGAGACATATATATTGACATGTACACATATATGACAATTGTTTTCAGACATTGAATTACAGGCGATGCATGAAGGGAAACAAAGTAAGTCAGCCCTATCATTGCCCCAGCTTGTGGCCCGGGGTGAGTTCCCAAGGTGTGGCACGGCAAGGAGGGACCCAGTTGAAGGCCAGCATTCCCGCTGGACAGGAGGAGACAGATAAAGACGATCAGGAAGACCAAGGCTTGTAGAACATAGAGGGCAGAGTACCGGGGAAGAAAGTGCTGGAAACCAAGGGGGAGAATGAGACAGAGCTCCAGGCTCTGTACTGTCGTCGTCTTGGCTGTGGGCGCCCGAGAGGGAACTGCCCGAGGTCAGTGCAAACAGCACTGGGAAGCAGGGGCTGAATAATTCCATAAACTAGAACAGAAAGACGGAGTAATGCATGGAGTTCTCAGAAGAGTTTTTCCTTAGTAATGGGACTAAATTAACCCCAGACTAAAGGCAGATTTGGACTGACCTCACAGATCTTCAAAACAGTCCTTGAAGAATCAAACAGATGCCAAATAACTTAACTGCATGCCAGAACAAAGTTCAACAGATTTAAGGAAATACAAGGAAACCAAGAAGGCAGCAAAGTAAAACTGACAGTGTCCATCGGCCAATCAAAAAGCACTAGGCCTGCAAAGAAGCAGAAAAACGTGATGTGTATCCAGCAGAAACATCAATCAATAGAAATTTGCTTCTTGAAAAGTCAGTTAAGAAATGACAGAGATGATATAATTAAGATATTAACACATTAAAATAGGTATCATAAATGTGCTCTGAATTGTTTAAGAAGGTATAAGAAAATGTGAACATAATGAGAGGAATGGAAGATATGAGAAGAATTAAATGGAATATATGAAAACTACCACAGCAGAACAGTTTTAATGTACTAGATTGGAAAGCACTAAGGAAATAACCAGTGAACAGAAAACAAAGCCAGAGAAACTATCCAAAATGAAGCATGCAGAGGAAACAAAAAAGACCAAAAAAAGGAAAAGAGTCTTGTTGACCTGTGAGAAAGTATCAGAAGTCCAATATATTTGGAGTTCCAGGAAGAAAGAGGAAGGGATAAAAACTATTTGCAGAAATAATGGCCAAATTTTTTCTAACTTTGATGAAAACTACAGACTCAGAGGTCTGAGATGCTCAACAAACAGACCTGAGAAGCTCAAGTAGGATAAACACAGAGAACCCCACTCCAAGGCTCATCAAAAAGACAAAAAAATAACAGAAAAGCAGGGCTAAAAAGAAAATGCTAAAACCAGCCAAATAAAAAGGACATGTTAAATACATTCCATACACAGGAACACAAACAAGAATTCCCCTGTGAACATCTACACAAGCCAAAAGGCAATAGAGAAACACATTTAAAGTACTGAAAGAAACGAAGTCAATACCCCCAAATATATTTCAATGGTAAAGGTGAAATAAGACTCTTTCGCATGGACTAAAGCGGAATGAATTTATTACAAATATACCTGCATTGTGGGCTTCCCTGGTGGCTCACTGGTAAAGAATCCACCAGCAGTGCAGGAGATAGGGGTTCAGTCCCTGGGTCAGGAAGATCCCCTGGAGAAGGAAATGACAACCCACTCCGGTATTCTTGCCTGGAGAATCCCATGGACAGAGGAGCCTGGTCAGCTACAGTCCATGGGATCACAACAGAGTTGGTTACGATGTAGTGAACAAACAACAATGTTTGCACTCTATAGAAGCTAAAGAAAATTCTTTAAGCAGAGTAAGAATGAAGCCCAATAGATATGAGATGGAAATTCGGATCCACGTGAATGAACAGCACCAGGGATGTTTGTGGTTTCCTCCTGACCTCTCCTGCCCCCTCATCTCCTGACTTGCTCCCTCTGCCTCTCTCGGGTCCCAGAAAACTGCTTGTTACCTCCAGTGGCTTCAATGGGAGCTTCTCCCCAAAGCCTTTCTGACCACCCACCCTCTCAGCTTCATCCAGGCACTTGACGCCCTTCTATTGAGCTCCACAGACGCCTACACATTCCTCAAACCTTCTCTTTGTCCCACTTGTGTTTTCTCAGTTGGCCCCCACCTCAGACTGTGGCAACAGATGGCAGGACTCCATCTCATCTTTGTGAGAAGCTCAGTGGCAATGAATGAATGCAAGTTGGCTGGACAAGAACCAATTGGAACATTTGCAAGAACACTGAGCAAGTCTCTGTCCATATTCATTCTTCAGATATTGACTCACTCGTTCATTTATTCATCTGTGGAATGACTTCAAATTCATCACAGAAAGAGAAAGTTGATCTATAGTCTACCCATGAAAAACAAGCTGTCATCTGCAGCAGTTCTCCAGTGAGAGAAATCATAAACTCATCAAGTCCATCCTATCTATTATTTTACACAGAACTTTGAACTAATAAGATTTTCTGAGAAGCCAGTGAGGTTAGTGGTGGGAAAGGAGCCAAAGTGAGCAAAATCTGTTCCTTTACTGGAGTCAAACTGGTTAAAACACACACATTTTTTTTTCACATAATACAAAGTTGACTGCTTTCAACTCCTTACCTTACTTTATCTACCTTAACGTGTTTAGCTAATATCAGAGGCAAATGGCTTTTCCTGCTAATCTAGCACTTTATTTTAAAACAAAGAAACAAATATTATAAGACAGAAAAGTATAAAGTTCAAATAATATCTCTATGCTATTTATAAACTTGTTTTTGATTTCCTTTGTGCTCCTTTCCACTTAAAATAATTGCTTGAGTAATCAATACCCTATTTATTTAAATATTCAATAACTACAAATAGCTTTGAATAGCTCACAGGTGTCTCAGAAATAAAACTGCTAGTCACACTGAAGAGAATGTTTGACTTCCAGATGTTTCCCCCCAAAACTGGATATTTTAACCTAGTTAGGAGGTTGATGGTAAGGTTACCGAAGTAGATTTTACAATTTTTTAAGCGTGTCTTACCTGCAACATCCATCTGTTTCTAAGTTACTTCCTCTTTAAAAGCAGAAAGCCAAACGTTACCTTTAAATCTGTCTTTTTCTTTTTATAGATTAAACAGTATTTTCCCCACAATATCTCAGTGAAATGCTTCACTATTTCTAACAGCAGTTTTTCTAATTAACTTCCTGATTATTAGATGTCTCAATAATTTAAAAATAATTTATGGTCTTTTTTTTCTGATTGTTAAACGCTATAATAATATACTTGGGTTTTAGAGTGAAAACCTCCAGGGGGCAGGAAATTT